AGGTGAAAGAGAGTATAGAAACATTAAGAATTTGGTAGTAAATAGATTTTGTATTTAGTTAGCATTATATTTTATAGAAACGCTTCAAGTGCCTGAGGCTGTGGCGCCACGCCGCGGAAATGTGTTTCTATACACGTAGGCTTATAAATTTCGCATTTCTTTTTACGAAACATCTCTTATTTATCTCGCCACTTGGTGAAATGACAGCGTATACGACATGCGTCTAAACAGAGGAATTGCTCCGACCTGTAATTGGAGGATAAAAATAGACCACGCCCACTCCCGCCGCATACGCTATGCTATGACCGGTAGGAACGTGTACTAACTATCATATGGAGCGAATGATTTGAGTTACATTTCTATAAATTCTAGCTATTATAGACATGATGACTTAGCTTTAATCTCTGTGAATTTTGAGTCTATTGAAGCGCAATTAGTCTAATTAATTAGCAAATATGCATGCGTGGCTATGACCGGTGAAACAAAACGTCACAAATTCTATTTTTATCCTTCAAAAATGGAAAAGTGGGCGGGGTCTATTTTTATCCTCCAATCACAGGTCAGAGCAATTCCTGTTTAGACCCATGTCGTATACGTAGTCACGCCATCCACGCACGCACGCATGCACACTTGCACCTCTGCGCGCACGCACGCACGCACTTGCACCTCCGCGCGCACGCACGCACTTGCACCTCCGCGCGCACGCACGCACGCACATTCACGCATGTCCGAACGCGTGTGTGTGTGAGTGTGTCTCTGTGTGTTTATATATGTTTACAAGTATAATATTTGCCATGTATTTATCGTATAGGAATCTCGCCTAAAGTTGTTCAGCCGAATTAGTCCGTACTCGCATAACTAGAGAACTCCGCAGCCTAGAGGAAAACTAAATATATAAAGTTGTTCAGCCGAATTAGTCCGTACTCGCATAACTAGAGAACTCCGCAGCCTAGAGGAAAACTAAATATATTTTCAGAATCAGCACGTCTGGGAGGTGGTTCTGGCTGAAACAAAAATTTAAAAAAGTTAAAAATTAATAAAAAATTCTATTCATCAATAGATGGCGGTGCATAGATGGCATGATGATTAAAACATCACGTACGTGTGAATCCATGGTGTATGCCCTTAACGGCGCAGTGGCATAATCACTAGCACATCCGTCTCCTACACTGGGATTCCAGCTCGGGAACTTATTTTCCCCTTTTTTAATTTTTTTCCCTTTACCTACCTCTTTAGTATGTCTTATTTTTAATTTCTTACTTTTTAATTTTAATTTTTCATTGTTAATGTCTTTTATCTTTTGATTTCTTATTGTTTTTTACTGTTTGGGATGGGATGGGATGGCATGCGATGGGATGGGATGGGATGGCATGGAATGGGATGGATGGATGCATGGATAGATAGATAATTAGATTTTTTGGGGTATTTTCCTTTCAACCAAGCAGTCACCAACTGAGTAACGCCACTGATTTCCCGGGGCAATGCCGGGTATCCCGCTAGTATATCATATAGCTCATACCTTTGTACAAACTTATCACTTACAAAAATGGCTTTTGACATGCCCCTCCCCCAGCGTTAAATACTTAGCTAATGTCTCTATATAGTTTCCAATTTCCTCACATGCTTGAGTAATGAATCCTAGAACTACCTCCCCTTCATGTAGGTATCATGATACCTGAACCACGGCAAGGCAGTATTGTCTCGCTCTCCACTCAATCTGTCGCTGCCCCTCCACTCCTTGCTGTTTCGTGCCGTCTCTCTCTCCCTCTCTCAGTGAGTCACTACACTCACACACTTCTTTCAGTTTTTCACCCGCTTCTCTCTCTCTCTCTGCTTCTGGTTTGATTGAAAATTCCCAATTCGATTCAAGATATTCAGACGTAATTCAATGCTGCTGTTACAGTATTCTTCCCGTTTTTACTGTTTTGTCATCAATATTTGCATTAATAAAATTCAATGTATACCTTCATGCACTTCATGTTCTATAACTCCGTCATTCACCTAGCTCGTACAGAAATACTATTTTAAATACTGATTTGTTATGCTAAACATTGGAAAATGATTGTTTCAAAAAAAAATCCCCAATTTATTTAATGACAATGGTCTCTATGTACTCTTGCTTCTTAATATAAGGCCTCCCACACACGGTAGGATTCGTGCCGAGCACGGAGCGCAAGTTTCGTGCTCAACACGAATCTCAGCGTGTGCGGGGGTGTGAGACTCCTGCTGAGCACGAAACTAAGTGGTGGCGTATTTTGATTGGTTCTCACTCAGTGGCAGCGCCTTTTTGGATTGGTTCCGTCATTTTGATCAGTCACACGACCTACAGTGGCACCCGCTCATAAAGGCCCCCCACACACGGTGAGGTTCCTGCTGAGCACGAAGCTCACACTCCGTGCTCAGCACGAATCTCACCGTGTGCGGGGGGCCTTTATTTATGTATGCAAAACTACAGAGAAGACGATACGGCCAGAGATAGGGAATAGCAGTTTGACCACGTGTGTACTGGTACATATGCTAGTTAGCTACACATGGCTCAGATTATTGATAGCTTAAAATATTTGGTTTAGTCATCGTTACAAATAACAACATTCTAGTAATATGATACCGATTATTATATTTACCAGCATATTACAAGGATATACAAATATTATTTTAACAATAGGCAAGTGAATAGCTATTACACTGATGCATCCACAAATTTTGGTCCAACATTGAGAGATGAAATGAGTTCTGGAAATCGGATTTAAATTCCAAATTTTTATTCAACAACATTTAAGAGCGATGTAAAAAACAACTGCAGGGTCGAATTATATGAGCTAATATGAAGACGATTCTTATTTCTCATAATTCAAATACCATAATAAATAATAAATGCTTTTGGCTCTTTGCAGGAGCTTTAACATGCATGAGCTGCATCTATTGTGTTCCACAATGAGCAAATGGAATCAAGGACGCTGTAGATAGCGTTCCCTATAGCATAGCGTTCCCTATATTAGCTATCCCTGCGTTATTATGCACGTAGCCGTGGGCTACGCAGAAAACTATCCAGATCCAGAATCAGATCATGATGAAAATTATTTGCTAACGTTCACATTTTAGGTAGCCATATTAGAGTACATAACCTAGACCATTTTCTGGCTCACAAAATATGGAGCTACGATAAAGTTTCAATTCATGAATTGATTCCCTGATGTCGTCCATTGCACGGTGAGCACCTTTCTTTGCCGACACTCGACTGTACACAGATGGATACCATCTGCATGAACATGACGAGGCATTAGTAAATAACTCAATGCAATTTAATTATTAGTTATACAATAATTCAGCAGATAGAAGGATAGTTAGTAGTTAGTTTTCAGCAGATAATTAGAACCCTATCAATCGGATATCATCAGAATAACAAATATCTGACATTGGTAGAATACATCAAACATTTCCTTGAGTGGAATTTCTAACTGACAAAGAAACAACAGTTAATAAGACATTTTGTTCATTTCAATAATAAATGTCCTGGTTACCTTACCTCCTACACAGTTCTTTGATCGAACTAACATCAATAATCCGATAATGTAAGTGGTGCATCAACTGTGGCATATATTTATCAAGGAATTTCTTGTCTACATGGATGGAGTTTCCACCTAGTGGGCATTTACCTGTCACATCAAGATAAAAATAAAGATATAAGGAAATAACAATATCAAATGAATTCCTGCTCTGTTCACTCTCTTATTTGGCTTCACTTAATCTAGACAACATATGATCAAAGTGATATCACTACTACTATCTACTACTAGCCAGTCAATGATACGAGTAATTTACCTTGTGGTACATGTTGACGGAGAAATGACAGCATGGAAACCTCTGCCATTTGCAGACTGATGTCACTCTTTATCACAGCCTCAGTCAATCCAGACTAAAAGGAAAGTCCAGCAATACTAATATACACAGTACATTACTGTCCATCAACATATCAATATTAAAATGCAAGTGGGCAGTGGGACGCTCAAAAAATAGGAAAATAGGAATTTCAGATGTGAAAAAATAGGAGGAAAATAGGAATTTTGGTGAGAAAATATACAGTAAAAACCCGCGTATAAGAACATAGATTTTTCCAAGTTAGCCTCAATATGTTCTTATATAAATGGTGCTTACTGAAAAATTAGGCTCAAAAGGTTCTTAAATAGGTTCTTAATTGTTTCTACTTTTAATATGTATAAGCTTATACTTGATTCAAATTGTGTTAAAATTTCCTTACACGGACTGCAATTTTTGCTAATTAATACCCATGATGGGCTACAGTGTAAGTTTTTCAGTGCTTACCATACTGTGTGATACAGTATGTATCCAAGGAAACAAACCAAGATGCAAAAAATGCGTGCCAAAAAGAGGTGCTGGCACATTCATCGGTATTGTTGAGCTCGTCTTTTTTATTTTACCTGTGTTTCTTTTTAAGTCTTCATCTGCATGGAAAATTAAGAACCTACTTTAAAATCTTAGCCTAAAACAGGTTCTTATGTAAAGGGGTCTAAATGGGAAATTTTTAGCCTAACAGGTTCTTAAAATCTATGTTCTTATACGCGGGTTTTTACTGTATGTTAAATATGAATATTTGTTGTGTTAGATGGTCTACCAACACCCCTACAGCCATCCCGATCCACCACAAATGGTTTTCTTAATATACATATTTGGAGTTACATCACATGCGAACAATATTTTGAGGTTTTAATGAGAAATGCATGTTAAAATTGATAAGCAGTTTATACATGCATAAGCACCCATACATGTAGACTACTCCAAAATAGTATGACGTACATGTATACATGGGTGGATCTGGCTTTTTGAAAAAAGGGGGGGGTCCAGTAAGAAATAAAAGGGACTTTTATAAAAAGGTGCCGAAAGCAGCTTATGCGACGTGTCTAAGCCACGTTGCCACTTAGGGGGGGGGGAGGGTTAGGGCGGGGACTCCCCTAAGAAAAATTAAAATGGGTGCATTCTGAGAGCATCTGAGCAGTAATTTTGATGTCTAGAATGCAAGATGGAATTCCAAATTTTTAAGCAGAAAATTATCTTTTATGTGGTTTCCCTTTTTTTGGGGAAAAAAAGGGGGGGTCCGGTCCCCCTGGACCCCCCCTGGATACACATACCACATCCAACTGAGAAACAACTTTACTGAATAAAAATCTGTATAGTAAAGAGTATATTACATTAATTTAAAGTAAGGGGTGGGGGTCTGGGGGTCGTCCCCCAGGAAATTTTTGAAAATTGGGTCACCTAAAATGTAAATTCCTGCATCTGAGAATGATACATACAATTCTGCATTCAGAAAAATGAAAAGCCCTCAAAAATAGGAAAAAATAGGAATTTGTCCAGAAAATAGCAGAAAATAGGAATTGCCCCGAAAATAGGAACTTGACGCCCTGTATCTAGAACAGGAAGGAAACTCCTTATGAAGCCCTTCATCATCATCTCAACCTGGCTATTGTGGCAGCTTATATGAGTTTAATACAGTGCATGACTTTTCTATGCTGCAAGACTAATATCAATACAAATTGGTCTTTTGACATATGACTGTTGGAGCTACACAATATAGCATGCATATATACCTGACCATGATGTTCCTTACACCAGTCATTCATTTCATTCATCACGGATTCTGGCTGATGTAAAATTAGGTTAGGACCCTGAAGCAGAAATTCAGAAAAACAAATGAATTATTGTATTATTGTAAACATTGAAATTGAAGTACTTTGCAGTTTTCCCAAGATTAATATTAGTCAGAATGTGCCTAAAGCTTACACCTTACTATATTAAGATGAAATATGCTTCATGTGAGTACTATGTCTATAAGTTTCTTCTCAGAAAACATGAAAAATGCCAAGTATATCATGTGTGCATATATATATATATATATAGAGAAGAGAGAGAGAGAGAGCATTTGTTACTTGAAACACAGACCTCTACTACAATATTGAGTTGGTCATCCGTAATGAGACAAGCTATTTCTAATATGTGGTCTATGTCAACATTCAATCCTGTCATCTGAAAGAAAAATATAAACATATTACCATCATTTTATTATTAAGCACTTCCCCTTAGTTACCGCAGTGTCTAAGCTCGGGTCCTAAATTTATCAAGGCGCCTTAAGCCTGGCGCACATTGCCGAACATTTTCCCGAACAAATGTTTTTGTCTGGCAATGTGGCGGTGTGAACAATTGCTGAGCGCACATTGCCGAACATTTTGCAGCGAACGAACCTCGTGCCGCCTCTAGTAGCTGTGTTGTAAAGAGTCGGCGTGATCGGCCGCGCGATGATTGGCGCAACGAAAAAATCAATGGAGCACGATAATCGTGCTGCTATTGGTTACTACTTTACAAATGTTCCTAGAATTGTTCGACATTCAGCGCACATTGACAAACATTCGACGAACAATGTTCGAGATATCAAACATTTCCGATCTTTAGAAACATTGTTCGGAACAAATGTTCGGCGACTTTTTTTGCCGAACATTTCATGGAACATTGCTACGATAATGTTTTTGAACAAAATGTTTGGCAATGTGCGCCGGGCTTTACCATAAATTGTTTTTGTGAATTACGCCAGCCCCTACTTTAGGCTGTCGATCCATGATTTCACTGGTCTTGCAGGAAGAGAAATTTTGAGTGTAAACTGGCAGTCGGCATATAGAACGAATATCACAATAGAAATACATAGAGACGTCTAATAACTAGTACATATAATTATAATTTCTATGGACATCATTTATATATAAGTGGCACCATCTACACGGGGGAAAATTTCTTACTTTTCTACGTTGGATCTGAAATGTTATATATAGCCACAGAGTAGCCAAACGAGAAGGTAACCCCTACTCTGTTGGGTTACATATAAATTCAAGAGCCCATTAACCCCATAAGGGGTTAATGGGCTCTTGATAAATTGTATCTATCTAAGCACACCCAATTTATATCAAGTATTTTCGAAAACTTTCAGCTTTGGATTGTCATCGTGGTGGCAACACCACAGAACGAATCATTTGTCCGTGACAATCTCAGCACAAATATGTAATCACGATATCACCAGAGTGGTGCGCGTGCTGCATTCGTGCTCAGATTGCGACAATGACCTCAGCTAGACGACAACTTCAAGTTTAACGTCTTCATTTTTTTCACCCCAATTTAGAATTCTCCTCCGTCCTCTTTGGTTATAATTGCAAATTGAAGCTGTTTCTACTGTGATCCGCAGTATTTCTATTTGATCAACTTTGTCTAACTCCGTTTTCGATACAACTCCTTGGACTTTGAAGACTAATCTATTATCTTTAGGAGGTTATAAGGTTACTACTTCTCGTGCAATCTTGGGCAATCATTGTCCTAACATCGTACCACAGCACATAGGGTCTATGTCCCCCAGGGTACTGCCGGAACGTACCCTGGGTACGGTCCGGTATACCGGAACGTACCCTGGTAACTATTTGATACGGTTAGGGTTAGGGTTAGCTCCAAGAAACGGTATTGTTAGGGTTAGAATCCGTCGCACAGCCTGGTCGGGCTAGGGTTAGGGTTAGGGTTAGGGAGTAGGCGTAGGCGACTCCCTAGACTCGTTAGTTGAGTAGGCGAGGTACGGTCCGGCATATTAGATAGTTACCAGGGTACGTTCCGGCAGTACCCTGGGGGACATAGACCCTCTCAGCCGTACCACAGACTAGAGAGAGATGTTTTCCCAGCGTTCGTATTACTAGTAGTAGTAGTAGAGTAGACACAGGCTCTCAGGCCTCACGTGTGAGCTTCCGTGGCCCAGTGGTAGGCATCATGCACTGTCCACTGAATGCTGCGAGTTCAAACCCCGGTCGGGGCAGTGAATTTTCTCAAGGTGTAAAAACCTGGCTCTCTACATCGGAGACTGTGAATCTCCCGTGGCTCGGATGACCACGTAAAATGGCGGTCCCGTCTCCAGAAATACTAACCAATGGGGACGTAAAAGAACCACTGAGGGCGCAAAAAGAACTCTGGCTGTGACCACCCTCAGTGCCATTTGGCTAAAAGGCTGACTACCTAAAACTGACTGCTGAATAAGAATAATAAGAAATAATAATAAGATTCAGAAGGAATATAAGAAGAATAAGAAGCCTAAGAAGTGTAATACTGCTTTGTGTATATAATATTGTGTACTCTCGTGTGCGTGATGTGTGTGATCGTGGCCCGTGACGTATAGTGTATATATACCAAGCGATTT